GTACTGATCTGCGTAAGTTACTGGACTATTTAACAACTCGATCACTTTCCGTAATGTACCGAAAATCCTTATACTTTTATTGCATAACTATTCGATCAGTGAGTAGCGAAGTGTCGTGTTAGTATAGTCCTTTAACGCATTATCGTTACTAGTTCAAGTTAACAGACATCGCGTGTAATATGTTTTGATGCTATGTGTTTGGAGGTATTTAACATCTAGTGTCTACTCAGGCTGGTGATTACATCAAAATTTGATCAATACAATATTGTCAGTATTTAGGGGGAATCGACGAACATAATTCTGTAATCAGTGATAAATCTGGAGGATTCACATACAGTACATAACATGGAAGGTCAAATTGTAAGTCAGAGATGATACACAAGCCATATTGTCGAATGAAGCAGATCACGTATGCAGTCAAGATACTGGTCTATATATCCTTGTCTGTGTCAAAAATACAGATTTATAGATGTTAACAGTGTGTGTTTATTTTATTCGAATACCACTTACAGCTCCTTAGTCACTTCACTCACACAGTAGGCTGGGTAATCGTATAGGAAGCGTGTATATTTGTATATGAAATGAATGACAGGGGTACGCAACAGTAATCCCCAGAGTTCTAGTTAAAAGCAGTGACGAGTGGAGTCTAAATTTGTCGGCAGTGAGACAGTTACTCAATAATGGCATTAAACAATGGCTGTGAAACACCTGAAGTCAGAGAGTAAACCATTGGACGACAACGCAGTGGTTTAGAGATTAAATACTTCGTAGTGCAACCTAAAGGTATCAGGTTCAATTTCTGGTGGAGTTGTAAATGTACACATTAAGACTATTCAATGCTTCTTCGATTTAAGTAGTTGTCTAACTAAGATCAGACCGTTGTTGCTACCTTAACGTGGTGGTCGGGCTTGCCTATGGTGATGAAGCAACCGAGCTATACTGGCTGGAACAACCGTTCCTCAAGGTCCTACCATGTCAGAAAGGTCGGTTGAAGAGCGGTAAGACTAAAAGCAACAAACCTAAGGTCCGAAGGTGAAGTCGTACTTCTGACTGTACAGAGGTGCGACAGCATTAAGGTGTTTCCTTCAGACAACCAGCATGACAGCGATGCTGCCTTCCCACAAGGAGGGGCGGGGTTAGAAAAGGTCGACCCTAAAGATGCACAGCCCACATCCCACGGATATCCGTCTCCGGCGGTAAGGTCTCAACAAGTACGGAGTTAACACAAAAATTACCCATAAACAGGTCGTGTGTGACCGACCTCAAGCAGTTGTCCCTTGGGCATTGCGGTCACGCTCTCAGGTCACTAAGACCACCTCTAATCTAATTTCCTTTTCAGGTACCTCCAGAAGAACCCTTCCATGGTGTGGGCAACCGGGAAGTGATAACCGCCCTCATAACTCTAACAGCACTCAAGACCACTGTATTCATAATCAACTTCCCTCTTCAATTCCTATTATTCCTCCTACATCGACTTTCAACTCTAAATTTCCTCTTTCGGCTTTTTCCTCAAGTGTCACCATAGCCAACGATTCTAGTGCTCAAAACTCTGTCCCAGGTCTACTGAAACCTCGTTCCACACTACACATTAGAGCCTTCAACGTACGAACCCTATGTCAAATCGGTCAGCAGGCTTCCTTGGCTAAAACCCTGGAGTCTCTTACAATCGATGTATGCTGTGTCTCCGAAATACACATACAGGATTCCAGTGTGGTCATTCACTTGACCTCACCTCGGCAAAACGGAGAGCCAACGAGATACACCCTCCGTGTATCTGGTGACCCGATGGCCAGTTCTCGTGGATTGGCAGGTGTAGGCATAGCACTAAGCATGAGGGCCGAACAAGCACTGCTAGAGTGGATCCCCTTTAACAGTCGTTTATGTGCTGTCCGGCTGAACGGCTACGTAAGAACTCGGAAGGATAGGGACACACGTCGTTGCCTTTTCGTCGTTTCTGCCTACGCTCCCACTGACTGCAGCTCAGATGGTGTGAAAGATGGATTGTACAGAAAGCTTTCTGGACTTCTTCAGAAAGCTAAACGCTCAGACATAGTACTCATAGGGGGTGACTTTAATGCTCAGATAAGTAGCTTAAACCAAACAGAAAGGCATTTAGGTGGATATTTTAGCATTCCGGCACAGCGAACAGATAATGGTGACCGTCTGCTGCAACTGTGCTCAGACAATCGTTTATTTTTAGCAAACACAAATTTTAAGCATAAGGAAAGACATCGTCTAACATGGCGACCCCCTACACCAAACCAACGATGAACTCAAATAGACCATATTGCCATCAGTCATCGTTGGAGAGGGTCGGTACAAGATTGTCACTCATTCTGGAGTACCTGCTTGGACTCCGACCACGCCCTAATACGGGCACGCATCTGCTTGCGCCTTACTGGACGCAAAAAAGCCACAGTAAAAAGACCCATTACAACCGAACTGAGTAGCGAGGAAACCAAAAGTAGGTTCCAGGAACAACTGAGGTCGCAATTAGGTAGTTCTGAAAACGAGGCTGACCCAGATGTTGCTTGGAAAGCTATACAAACAGCTGTGGAAACAGCAGTGACATCTATTAGTGACTTAAACCACAGAGTTACAAAGAACCAGTGGATTTCTTCAAGGTCTATCACACTGATGGATTCTCGCAAACTCGTCCCATCAGGTTCCGAACATGATGAAGAGCGACAACAAATCAGATCTAGGTTAAGAAAACGTCTAAGGAACGACCGTGAGCAGTGGTGGGCAACGAAAGCAAAAGAGATGGAAAAGGCGGCGACTATAGGAAATACAAGACAGCTTTACAGACTAATAAAAGAAACTGGAATTAATAAGTCAAGTGTAAGTGAGATTATTTCGGAAAAAGACGATACTCCCATCTGCTCCCAGTCCAGATGTTTAGAACGATGGGCGGAATATTTCAGAGAACAGTTCAGCTGACCTTCAGCTACTCTACAACTACCCTCCATTCCCAGACAGCGTGAATGGAACATTGGAGTAGGTCCCCCAACTCTTGCCGAAGTTCAAAAGGCTATAGTTAGTCTGAAACGAGGAAGGGCAGCTGGTCCAGACGGACTGGCTCCAGAGGTCTTTAAGGATGGTGATCCAATTTTAGCGATTAGGTTGACTAATATTTTAGCTAAGATCTGGGAGTCAGACGTTATCCCATCTGACTGGTCACAATCACTTATCGTCCCAATATATAAGAAAGGGTCAAAATCATCCTGTGACAACCACAGAGGGATTAGTTTAACTAATATAATATCTAAAATACTAGTCTCGATAATTATCGGACGCCTAACTAAGACTCGTGAACTGCAAACACGAGAGAACCAAGCTGGCTTCAGACCCGGTCGTGGCTGCATCGACCACATATTCACCATTCGTCAGGTTCTAGAACACAGGCATACTTATCGGCGTCCGACAATGGTGGTCTTTCTCGACTTGAAAGCAGCATTTGACTCTGTGGACCGCGAGATTCTGTGGTAGTGTCCGTCATTGAAAGGCGTACCCCAGAAGTACATAAACCTTGTAAAGGCTCTTTACTCGAACACTACTAGTCGAGTCAGGGCTTATGGCGAACTGTCATCTACTTTTGCAACCTCAAGTGGTGTCCGTCAAGGCTGTCCACTCTCTCCATTTCTGTTTAACTTCATCATAGACCTACTGATGGAAATAACTTTCTCGTCGACTGAGTTCTCGGGTATTGATCTCCTACCAGGAGGTCCACTTATCGACTTAGAATACGCAGATGACATAGTCCTGTTTGGTGAAGACGCTGACAAAATGCAGAGTCTTCTGGCAGCACCAAGCAACAATGCCAGAATGTTTGGGATGCGCTTCTCTCCCTCGAAATGCAAGTTGTTGCTTCAGGACTGGGCTGCGTCAACATCTGAACTAAGGATAGGGAGTGAAGTAGTTGAACGCGTTGACAACTTCACTTATCTTGGAAGTCTGATTAGCCCTAATGGGTTGGTGTCTGACGAAATCTCAGCACGGATTCGAAAAGCTCGCTTGGCTTTTGCCAACTTACGTCATCTATGGCGAAGGCGAGATATCCGTCTATCAATAAAAGGACGAGTATACTGCGCGGCAGTCCGTTCTGTTTTAATTTACGGCAGCGAAACATGGCCATTAAGAGTAGAAGACACCCGTAAGCTATTAGTATTTGACCACAGATGCCTTAGAAATATTGCTGGCGTCTGTTGGGATCACCGGGTAAGTAATAGTGAGGTTAGACGCAGGGTACTAGGGAATGATGGTAAATCAGTTGATGAGGTTATGAATCTTCATCGACTGAGATGGTTGGGCCACGTGTTACGTATGCCTGAATACCGATTACCACGACGTGCAATGCTATCCGGTATTGGAGATGGCTGGAAGAAAAATAGGGGCGGCCAAACCAAAATGTGGCATCAGTGCTTGAAGTCACTAACTTCTAGTCTGAGCCATGTTGGTAGATGCAGACTACTTGGTTGGGGTCCGCGTGACTATCGTAACCAATGGTTGGATACTCTTGGTGACATGGTTCAGAATCTATCACAATGGCGTCGGTGTATATACTCCATGTCTTCCCTTAAACTAAGAGATTAAAATCGCTTCATACCTTTCTTTCTACGAACCAATTTTTTCTTCTTGTACTATACCTCTATATGCAATCTTTCTCTTATATATTACCACCTTTGACATAACCACTGCTATGAATCCGATGTTCATCTTATTGTGCTGATGCGGTAAGGCAACCTGGACCGATGCACATATGTGCCTAGTCCTACATTGTAACTGACTGACTGACTGAGTCAGTGATTCAAATCATATAAATACATCGAAAAACAATAAAGACAATCGTAACAGTTAATAGTGGTAATAGTATTGATATTAATAGTGAATACAACAGCAAATAACAATGATAATATACAAATAATCACAGACAATGTTGATAGTGCTAATAATAATAATAATAATAATAATAATAATAATAATAATAATAATAATAATAATAATAATAATAATAATAATAATAGCCTAAACCTGTACAAATAACACCATGTTACTATGATTCTACGAAGAAAATACACCGGAGTTACAATTGTAATATCACTTTCTTCTTTTTTCTTAAAAAAAAATAATGCAATTTACAATAATAATTTGTTACTGTTGACGAAAAGATAAACTACATCCACGTAGATGTTTAGTTAATTCTAATTCAGTAAAAAATAATTCAGAACAATAATTACATTTAATTAAATTAGTTGGATGTTTACGTAAATAATGTGATTTTAATGTACAATTTTGAGCGGATGAATAATTACATTCACGACAACTAAATGGTCTTTCACCTGTATGCGTACGTATATGTACAGTAAGATGACTTTTTTCAACAGTTGTATATTGACAATAAGGACAACTGAATGGTTTTACTTTAGTATGTTGTATCATGATATGTTTACGTAAGTGAACATTTTGACGAAATGATGTACCACAATCACGACAGATATAACGTCTTGGTGGAATTGAATCACAGTAATACTTATTGACATTATTGTTATTATTACTTTTATTATCAATATTAGGACAAGCAATCAAATTTGTATGCATTATTGTTGGTATTTGAAAGATAACATTGGCAGTGGATGTGATCATGTTATCATTATTATTAACATTCGATGTAATTATGGCATTTCCAGACGAAACAGGCATTGATTTCATTGTTACATCTATGTCAACATTTGTTGTCGTTATTGTTGACGATGATGATGATGATAAGGAATTATTCAATATAATTGAAGTATCATTATTGATATCTGTATTTGTATTATTGATATGATCAATTTGTGATAAATAATTATCATTTATTTTAGAATTACTACTATTTACAATATTAATATAAGGTTTATTAATTATGTCATTTTTTAAATGTAATTCAATATTTTGACAATATTCATCATTATCATTATTTTGTTGTTGTGGTGATGTTGGAGGTGATGATGATTGTTGTATGATCATATCTGATAATAATGGTAATTGTGGTGATAATATTGAATTTAATGGACTTGTAATTGTTGTCGGTGTAGCTGCATTTAATAACATTGCTAAATCAGCATAATCAGAATAACTGAATTCTGGATCGAAATCAGTTTGTACTTCAGATGACTGACTGATTATTGATCTTTTCGGTGAACAAGGACAACATGTAATTCGAGCAGTATTGGTAGTTTTTGTTTCTTGAATAATAAAATTATTTTTATTATTATTAATTTCATTTTGCATTGATCGGTCACAACATATTGGTAATGTTACCGGTGTTGATGTACAACAGACAAGTTTACGCATACAACAACTAACAATTGCCGTAGATGCAGTACATCTTGATGTATCTTGTGTAATTATTTCATTAGTATTTAATAAATTTGAACATGTTGTCGGTTTACAAATAATTGATCCTGTAGTACAACAATAATCACTGACATATATATCAGAATTCATAGAACTGCCATTACTACTATTATCATTATTGTTATTATTACTATTATTACTGTTATCATTATTATTATTGTTATTAAAATTATATGGACATATTCCTGTCGATAAATTATTACAACATGATGAAAGTGTAAGATTACAACTTTTCACGTTTGAACAAGTTTTTATATTGTTAAGTCTATTACAAGTCACTGTTGATTCACCTATGCAACAACCAACATATTTACGTTTTCTATGAGGTATACTGTGTTGTTTAATTCCAGTTAGATAAGTTTGTGTTGATGCATTATGACTGTTACTATTAATACTAACACTACTACTGTTATCGGTATGAGCAGTGTTACTTGTAATAGTAGGTGTATCAGTAGTACTATTTGTATTATTACTATTATTATTATTATTAGGACTAATATATTTATTATCATCATTTGTAATAGTAGAAGTAATTGTTGTATCAGAATCGGAATTGTTCACTTTTTCTGAGAGTAATTTATCAATTGTATGCAGTACACCATTTTCACACTGATCATCATCATCATCATCATCATCATCATCATCATCGTCATCCTCATCATTATCATCAACATCAACATTAGTTTCATTCAATAATTCTTCAACATTTGATGATAATGTATTTTTTAATTGTTGTTCATATGTTTTAGAAAATTTTCCAATTGTATCAATAAATATTAATTGGTGTTCAACTTGAACATGCATTAAAAATGTCCATGGAGTTGTGAATTTACGAGAGCATTGAACACATTTTAAAAAGATAGTATTACTATTTTGTGATTCTAATAAAGTATTATTATTATTATCATTATTATTATTACTAATATTGTCCATAACATTTGAACATGATAATGTCATCAATGGAGGTGAAGAAGAAAACGACGATGTTGATGATGATGATGATGTTGTTAATGATGGTAACAATGAAGGATATTTGTTATTTTCTAAATTTGAAGTAAACGGTGATTTCAAGAAACAACAACTTGCTTTTTTATGCTCAATAAACATATTAATATCAGAGAGGCGAAAAGTAACAAAACATGTTCCACATGATAGAAAGTCAACCGTCATTTTTTTGTGAATTATACAGACTATTACTACTACTACTACTACCAATAGTATAACTTTTCCAATTTCTGTTTAGAGGAAGAAAAATAGATTCAATGTTTGAATTGATCACAATTTGATGGTTCAATGTTAAAAATGTTATATTATTATTATGTAGAGTAATGGCTGTTCACTTTGAAATATTCAATGAAGCTAAAATTAGAGATATGAAACATTTTAATTAAACTGATAATTTAGTAATTGATACAATAATATATATATCGTCTATCTCCAAAAAGACAGGACTCTAATCGACTCACAATACGAAACGATTGGAACGATAGGGAGAACACTTCAAAGAACAATCTTACTGGCCTTGAGTTACATACTACTTTCAAACAATCGACATAAACTATCTATAATTTTGAAGAAATTGATAAAGTTATACCTTATTTGAGGCGAGGAAAACCAATGGAACCTGATAAATTAACTTTAAAGATCAGTAACAGGTGATGGTCTAGTTTTATTAATGAAAATGACTGATATATTACCTAGTATTCGGGAACTAAACGTAATCCCATCTGAATGGTTTCGATTACAGGTCAGACCAGAAATTCGTTTGACTAATAGAGTGCCTAAAATACTAGATTTAGTAATCGTCCGACGCTTAACTAACATTCGTTAATAGCGAACCCAAGAAAACTAGGCTGGTTTCAGATATGGATGTGGATAAAATGCAGTTGTCTGATCGGCTTGAGCAAAACTACAGACAGGTTTAAAATGTATTTATTTATTTAAACACATAAACATTGGTACAAGGAGGCACCAAATACATATGCACCACATAAACCATTCGATGTGTGAGGGCTGGGAGAGACTGCCTGGGTACCTAAACCGAAGCATGTGGGTTTTCTTAAGGGGCCAATCCATGAGCCTTTAACCTAGAAGTCTAATCCACAAGGCAGTGGAGCAACGTCAGGAGATGCTGTCCCATGGTAGCCGGTGACCGACAATAGGTTCGTACTCTATATATTCCCTCAGGATCTTGGAGCCCATGTGCACCATTGGTTTGGAATCAGAGTTTTCCAACATCTCTAGATGGGTTCTTCGTAACCACCGACTCGGTTAAAGCGCCAGACATTCGCTTTCCATCCTCTCAATTTCGTAAATAACACCCTCGCCGCGAGAAGGCAGTAAGTACGACTTCCCTAACAGTGGTTGTATGCACATGGTCATATGAGAGTATTTGGAGAGGGAGAGCTGACTCTCCCTACCCTCAGCTGTACCAGGGCATTTGTTTCCTTACTTGACTGCTTTGTTTTAACAGAGTGAATCCTCATTTTAATCAAAACTGACACTATTTTGTGAGCGGACTCTCCCACTCCCTCAGTCGTAACAGGGCACTTGTGGACAGTTAATGTTGTGACTTGATCTAACGAACTCGATCAACATGATATTGGCCACTATAGCAATAAATGACCAACTACCAATTAAACAGAAAAAATAGTGTAAACTATAAACATGTAATTACTTAACAACATATACCATCCAAGTATATGGTTTACCATTAATCTTATAAATCTAAGAACCAGATATTGTTTTTTGTACTAGGTATAGAACATTTGTGAATCATTCGATTTGACCATTATTTTATGAGTAAATAAAAGTCAATAAACTCAAACTTGTTCGTCACTACTATCCTTACTTGACTCATTAACCTTTTTTTAAAAAATAAGTATTTTTCACATAATTCTTGACGCAGTGTCTGAAGTTATATATGAATGAAGCAGAAACGTATATATTGCAAATTTTAGGTTAAATTCGACAACACTAAAATGACCTTTGGTAGTAACGATCATTATTCTGTCATTTCACTACTAATAGTACAAAATATTATATTTTGCACTGTAAATGGCTTATTTTGAAATTAGTAATATAACTACATGAAGAGATTACATAGACTGTACTATAAACATCACACTGATAAGAGGACGTTTAAGACAAAAATGGGCTTGAAAACATTTTTCTCGTTTACTTTCATTACAATGAATACAATTAAATATTCATATATTACAATGTAATCTGTCTTTGTTAGTTAAATCTCTATATATGATCAAAGGGATCAGAGAAAATATGAAAACCGATTGTGGATAAGTTTCAAATGTGCAGCGGAAGAGGAGATACCTGAATTTTTATTTTATTCAGTCAGTTATTAGGTACATAGTTGTACACTTGGCTTTCAAGCCCAGTCTAAGTATGAGAAATAATGATATCAATCTAGCTATCTAAGCTGAAGTAGGGAAATAGGCTTTGAAAACTAATCTATACCAAACAAATGAGTCGATAAAAGAAATACAATTTGTGCGAGCCATAATTTTACTACTTGGTTACCAAAACTGGATGATGTGGAATGGAGTTCGAACCTGTGACCTGCTGTTAGCTAAAAGCTTTTTAATCACTAACTTACCGGTCAAGAAACAAGTATAGCATCATGTAGGGTCTGAAATCACAAACTGGACATAACCGCAGTCAAATGTTTTCAGTAATCCGTAACCATTATGAGTGGAGATTTTTCGCCACTTACATTGTGGATCAATGCAAATAATAAAGGTCACACTTTCCAAATATTGTGAATATAATTAACCACTAAGATACGTCCATTAGTTAAAATAAATCAATTGACACTTAGTAGTCATATGTAGGAAATTTGCTGATGGCATTTCTTTTTAACCGTATTATAACTTTCGATTAAGATAACCGCTTAGCGTAAACGTCTACGAGCAAATATCACACTAAATACCCGTTTGATCGTTTATAATTTCAGTTTCTGAGATTTTCTACAAATATAATCTCTCGTTTGAAAATATCTTCCATACATTCAAAACCCAAATACTCTGAATTATCCCACTGACATTCTTAACGAGATTTGATCAGTCTTTGTTGGTATATAAGCATCTTGTGCGGATTACCTCGATTTCATTTAATTTCAGACTCTTTGTTTACTTATTTCATGGATGCAGTTATCTATTTCTTTGATTTTTGCGAGGGAAACTTGTTGAAATATTGTGTTGAGAATTTCACACTGCACTAAACACATAATATTGAATAAAGCTATTAACAATAATAATAATGGGTAGTTTTGCTAAAGTTAAATAGAACGAATAGACTTTGACTGGCAGTGGATTCCAAGACGTGGTTTCGTCCCATATGGGACTCGTCAGTAGCTTGGTGGACAACGCATAGAGCATTTGAGGCGAAGAGTAACACGTTCGAATCCTAGTGTAAAAATCAGCACTGAGGTGCAAGCATACTCAACTAACGGGACACAAATAGGAAATAACGCACATCATATATTTCACTACTAGCTACAAACCACCTATTCTACATAACTCGTAACAAAAATGGCTGTATTAAGGTAAATAATATTTTTTCTTAAAACGGTTTACAATTTGTCAGTATTTAGACTTCGTAAACAACTCCATCCTATAAATATGTAAACTGACAGCATAAAATATTTATTTCACAAAATCTATGGAATATACGAATCATATATCCTTCAAAATGCTCCATATTCTTATCAGTACAACTATTCCACTTCAGTCTCGAATGTCCATAACATTTCTGGATGCCCTCAGGTACATAAGGCTTTCAAAATGCGTCACTTTGTTAGAACCATGTGCATATATGACTTCCCCAATCTAGTTCATTAAAAATCATCTGGAAAGTAAAGTGACGATCAGAAAACATAATGGGTCTCACACGTCTCATGACTTCATCAATACAGGAGGTTGATAGTTACCATGGTCTTGTATCCACTCTTTGTGTTCTTCCAAATTCTAATCTTTTGAATTATTTGTGTTCCTTTTTTCTCTTTCCAAATTTATTTCACTGGATTACACTTCTTGAATAGCATCTTCAAACCCTAATGTTTCCGATTACTGCTTATACTTTTACTACCTCTACCACTACGGGATTTGAGTCGACAATTGTATCTCAGTGCTAGTGTAGTATGGCGAATTGAGCTGATGTACGTACGTACGAAGTCCTACGTTGTTGCTGACTCACAGACTGATCGATGGTCTTGTATCAGCCTACCAGTTTTCATGACATTCATCTGAAAGGCACGATATACATGAAAAGAGCCATTTTCTTTAATATTTTAGGTTTATAAACATCCTTCAATAATTCATGAATTTCGTGAAAGATTTTCCACTTTTTATAAAATTAATAGTTCAGTTTGCGTTGGACAGAAAATCTGCATATTTAACTATGATTTGCACTATGAGCTATGACTTTATGTCGAGTACAACTACTGATTTTCTGGAAGTGTAAGTTTTATGTACAAGATCTCTGGATGGTCCCATCCTAGACAAAAACAGCTGTTCAACATTTCCTGGTTTTCAATGGATGTCTAGATGAAGTCAATGTCTGTGATGTTAATAATTTCTAAACTGTACAACCATTATAATCCTTTCATTCTGATAAATCATTAGCTTACTGATGATTGAATTCAGAAAATTCCAAAATTCTAATAAAAATATAAGAACAATGGAGTTTGATAAGGCCAGGATTAACATACAGATATCACCTATCACAATAAACAGTGATAGCGTAATACCACGACCTTACTGAGATTGTAGATGTGGATTACAGAACGGTATTCCAGTAGTCATGAATGTGAACTATTGAGTGTTTCCATACTTGATCGAAACAACTATTATTATTATTATTATTATTACTATTATTATTATTATTATTATTATTATTATTATTATTATTATTATTAACTATCTAGTGTTCCTTGGTTTCTACTGGTTGTTTCAGTTACTGTCAATCTGTAACATAAACTATTCAAAAAATTCTTCTATATTCCTGATATACAACTGAAGTAATTAGAAAAAACGGAATTTTTCTTTCTGAACGCTTGGATTAGTTAATTTTTTTACAGTTATGTTCTAGTGGGTCACTGTTTTACTACAGAGTAAGGCTGAATTTTAAAAATATCAGTTGAAACACAACCTTATGGTAACGAACCAAATTGTTTTGACCTTACAATAACTGGTGAAACATTACGAGAATAGGAATTTCAAGATGAATGAAAGGTACTTACAGGTAATTGAAAATCTGAGGAGGCTATTGAAAATTATTATTTTATTTATTTCAACACAGATATTGGTACAAAGAGGCACCGAATACATATGCGCCATATAAATCTCATTCGATATGTGTGAGGGCTGTGATACTGCCCGGGTACCCAAACCGAAGCAGGTTGTTTTCTTAGGGGGCCACTCCCCGAGCCTTTGACCTAAAGGTCTAACTCACAAGGCAGTGGAGCATCGTGAGGAGATGCAGTCCCATGGTAGTCGGTGACCAACGATTGGTTCATACGCCATTTGTTCCCTCAGGATACTGGAGCCCATGTGCACCATTGGTTTGGAATCCGGTTAAAGCGCTGGACATTCGCTTTTCGTCCTCTCATTTTTGTAAACAACACCCCCGCCACGAGAAGGCAGTGAATAGGACTTCCCTGGCAGAGGCTATATACGCGTGGCCATGTGAGAGCATTTCGAGAGGGAGAGCGGACTCTCCCCACTCTCGGCCGTACCAGGGCATTTGGGGGCTATTGAAGATGTAAATTTTGACTGACTTTTCCATATAGTTTGCCTTTTAACATTTTATGAATAAGCATTGTTGAGTGCTTTTCTTAGTTTACCGAACTTTTCACATTGATAACTACTTAAAATATGACATTTTTTCAACTTTTTTCATGTTATGAACTAGCGCTTTGATTACTTTGCAAACGGTAATAATATCTTGGCGACGTTTTACAGAATCATTCATCTACTTATAAGTACGTGATGGCCAGCTCTATATTCGATACCAGCATAACTGACCAAGTTTCTGAGAACTATCTAATAAAAACATAAATTGTAAACGAACTTTGGGGTTTTTTGTGACAGCACAAGCAGCAAACATGCATATAAACCATTATTATTGTAGTGCCAATACTATTGTTAATTATCAGAATATACATTATTGTCTTTATTAATTTAGTTCCATTTTTTTCTCTTGACCTCAAAGGGTCCATCAAAAACTAAAAATAAGCTATTTAGTTAGGCAGGTTTGTTTGGATTAGCTCAGACTATGCTATTTATTATGATGGGTGTCAAGTGATATAATAAGCGATTAGAACTAAAAGAATATGAGTTGTCTTAAAGTTTCCAGGGGTGATATCTATCAAAAACCAATCAAATAAAATCAATGCCGCACATTATTATTGCCTATGGCATCGAACAAACAACTGAAAAAGAAACGGCAATATGAGGGAAGCTAACAAGTGGATTAAATGCATATTCCGATGGAAACAAAGATAATAGTCTCTGATGAACAGTTAAACTACACTGTAAATCCCATGCAGTTGTTTAAAGATCAT